AGAAGAAAAGTTTTCATAAGAATATTAGTAACGATAGGAAACCTTATACATCTGGCTACAGCCATACGTCATCGGTTTTCAAAAAGACCTTTATAAAACGCTGTAAAGTCCACACAAAGCCACGTCTTAGAAGAGCATAATTCTCGCCGAACAGAGCTCTTTCTTCGGCTGTCGCATGATTACCGCTAGTCCAAAGAAAGAGCTCTGTTCGGCGAGAAATATGCACGTCTACAACGCAAGAAATCTCTTCTTGTAGCTACGTCAAAAAGAATCCTTTTCGAAAACTGGCGTTATGGGGTTGTAGCCTGAAATCTCAGCTTTCGAACGGTGATTAACACTCCTATGAATACCCAATAAGTGGAGTGCTGTGCAGAAACGTTTGCGTCAGCCGCGATTCGAACCCAGATTTCATTTTTTCCGGGAGCGTATGCTAACCGTTGCACTACCGACGCTCGTTTTGCACAGCACTCTACATATTAGGTATACTATAACATCATACTACTGCAAGTGGCAGTCAAAAATAAAAAGAATTTAGACTCCTATGATAAAGTCCTCTCCAGCCGTTTTTGAGGTCGCTTTTTCATTCGTCCCCTCAGAATCACGATGAATCGAGCTGACAAATTGACTTCGAAGCCAAGCGAAATAAGTTATTGTCAAGATGATGAGCGAATTTCAGTACCAGAGCATAACAGAGCAATGACAACTGCAAGCTTCGAGAGAAAAGATTCACTCGAAAAAATGGATGATTCACAAGCAGCTGCGGCTGTTTTACAGTTTCGCAGCAAGTTTTGCCGATGATCAGAACAACAGATGACGTCATCGACCGACATTCAAGATTACAACAAAAGTGACGTCATCACCGACGGTCATCCGCCGTTTATGCAGCGAAAGATGTGTAAGCTGTAGGTGATGATGATGTCATCAGAAGGTCAAAACAAGTACATGTTCACGTCAAAGCTCGGCCATGAAGAGCGTTCAGGGCTAAGTGAACTCGAAAATATCAGTTTGCAGCTTTAGCAGCAGCACGATGATGATATAGAGCGATATCCAAGAATGCTGAGCGACATGCAAAATGCGGAGGCTCCAGTCGAAGGCTGGGTAGCGCAGTGGTTGGCAGGCGACCCACAAAAGAGACAAGAGGGGTTCAAGTCCCGCTCGAGGCTCATCAAAGAATTATCCATACCACTTATAGTCTTGAAGAAGACTGAACACATTTCCATCGAGAAATTGAAAAACCGCAGTGACGGTGCAGTTTTTGACAATTAAAATAACATGTCGTAGTCGCATATCCCTGTAGATCAACGAATATGATCTCTACTCACAAAATTGGGCAATCAAACATCCGCCGCAAAACGAGACAACACAAAAAAAAACGAGAGCAACGAGAAATGCAAAACCGTTCTCTGCTGTGTGCATTCTGTCGGGCGCAAATAAATACACGCACGCTACCTGCGTCAGGGTAAAGCCAGTTGGCGCATTTCGCGTGCTTGCATTGTTAGCATCCGATCGGGATGGTGCGGTTGCTATGGATTCACACGTTCAACGATTAGCCAAGATGTTGTTGTTGTCGTCTGCGGTCGAGACACGCGTGGCGCAGTGGCTAGAGGCGCGCGCCGGAACATGCACGTCGTCGATGGTTCGAGCCTTCGGTCAGGCCTGCCAAACTTTAAGTCTCTTGGGTTACCAGACTCGTCGAGGAGGAGTATAGCGGTGCTAAGCTAATGCACTGAGAGGACGGATTGAGCCATTCATTCTAGGGGCCAGATATGATTCGTTCAATCACTTCGAACGGTGCTTCGTGGTAGCGAAGTGCTTGGCGGACCCCTTATGAATTGACGGAGACGAAGAGCTTTATTCTTTACTTTTTATGCTGAACTCGAAATCAGTGTTACACCACATTAGCTGGGTTATAGCAGAATTGGAGCGCATGTGGCAGAGTGGTTAGAGGCATCTTGCGGCGCGCGCATCGTCGATGGTTCGGACCTACGCTCAAGCTCACCAAGCCTCGCGTCCCGTGGTGTGTTGGATTTGTTGAGAAGGAGGACAGCGGGACTGACCTGATACATTGGTAGGACGCAGCGAGCCACTCATTCTAGAAGTCAGACATGATTCATTCAGCCACTTCAAACGATGCTTTGTGGAAGTCAGGTGCTTGGGGATCCCTCATGAAGTGTCTGATACGGAGAGCTTTATTCTCCACTTTTTAAGTCGAACACGAAATCGGCTCACACCATATTACCTGGGTTATAGCAGAATTGGAGCGCATATGGCAGAGTGGTTAGAGGTGCTCTGCGTCGCAGACGAGGTCAATGGTTCGATCTCGCGCTCATGACTCACCAAGCCATCCATCCATCCAGGATTGGTAAATTGGCTGGTCTCAGACTTATCTGGGAGGACATGCACCACTGACTCGGATTAGCGCGAGGCCACCGCGAGTCATTGTAAGGGCCAGATATGCATTCAATCACCTTAAACGAAGTTGAAAATTGAAGTCGAATGTATGGCGCATCCCTCAGGGATTGATCAACGCCGAGGAGCCTTATCCTGTATGGCATAGCAGAATGGCTATCAAAGTTGATGTTGTGACACTTAACATCGGGTTTGTCACCACTAAGCCCACGAGGAAGAACGACTGATTAATAATCAATTCAGATCACGTCTTTGAAACACGACGCAAAAGATTAACCGTTCCACGTGGTGGGGGTGATGGCATGTATGTATATATGTTGAACACATTTGGTAGACTTTTCACAATAATTTGAAAAAGCCACTCGAGAGATGCACGCTTGGGTTATCGGAACTGAAAATCGCAAGATAATTGAAACCGGCTCTGAAGGCCTCTGTTGTACGTGCCCCTTTTCGCACAATTATGCTTGGAAATCAGAGATGTTTCAAGTACTCTACCCTCAAACCCCGTAGGAAACCTCGACATTCCTCCTAAGAAATCAGCACTTCATATTCTTTGAATCGAAATTTGATCTGAAACAGGAACCTCGGAAATAAAACAGACCATACTTGACACCGTAATTTGGAATCATAACGAGATGCTTCACGACTTCCGCGCAACCATATGGTGTCGTACCTTTTAAATGAACGATGCAGAATTTATAAGGGAATACAATTAGATCATTATTTCAGTCAAGTCATCGCTATTTATTCGCTACAGCTTACTCCGAGCTTCATGATTATAAGTTCCAAGCTCGTCACGGAGACAATCTACTTTCCTAAATCATGAACTTCAAGTCGGATTTCATTGTTTATACGTTAGGCTCTATGAGAATTTCTTTCGCATGGACTTTGTGCAAACAATTCTAAGAGCACTATAGCACGCTCGCTTCATCAGAGCCACTTTTTTTTCAAGAATTGTAGGCAATGAAAAAGTCTTTTTGGAATAAATTCGGAAATTCTCATGTTTTACTGCTTTTTTGCAGTGTTATGATGCTTCCAGTATTCCTAAGTAAATTGAGTGATGGGCAAAAATTCGAGCTCAGACGGGAGTTGAACTCGGATTTCACCCACACCGGGGGCGCGTGCTACCACTGCACGACCGAGGCCATACTTGAAATGTCATAACACTGCGAAAAAGCAGTAATAACATAGGAATTCTCGGGTTTTCAGAGGTACAATCGCTGTCACCATAATTGGGCTTACAGCACCATATTGCTTACCCTATAAAACCTGTCAAAGGTTCGTGAGTGATAGCTATCATAAAGAGATTTTGAAGAATGAATGCTGGGTTAGCGGTGGCCTCAGTGGTTTGGTGGTAATTACGTGCCCCGGTGTGGGTGAAACGCGGATTGAACTCCCGTCTGAGGTCGAACTTTCGCCCACCACTCAATTCTCTTCGATGTTCTTTTTGAAATAGTTTCAGAACAATCCCAGTCAGCTAGCTCTCAAAGATGCGTTGTATATGTTAACCAAAAAGCCCTCATAAGCATTATTTTGTCATCTATTCTTATATGTTTTTCGCTACACACAAGCATAACACGGAATATTCGAGGACAACTCGACACAACAAGAAAAAGTGTGATAACAGTCGAATCGGCAGAAGGATAACTTGGTGGAACAGAGTCCAATATTGGACTGATGAAGAACGAAATGAGATTATTAGCTTTCAGATGAATCGCATTTGGTGCTTACACTTCTTCTTGAAATTTTCACAGCGATCAAATCTGCGCTCTTGAATTTGCTTCCACCCATTTGACTCTTTAACGACTTTGCGTGTCGGCACGGCCCAATGGAGATGTTGACATTAAAAATTATTTTACGGCTTCAGAAAACCTCACACCTTGATGATTTGCTGGGCAGTACAATTCAAGTGAAATGAAAGATCTGCCTTTTTAATAAAGTGAGTAAAGGAAATCATAAAAAAAGTGGTGGTACGGGACATTGAAAGTTGTAAGCGTCTCTAAAATGGATCAACCAGAAATCAAGAACACAGGTTATCAGCTTGCTTATAGTTTGTCAACGAGCTACTTTAGCTTGTTAGTGACACTGAAATGAAATCTTTTTTAACATTTGGGATTTCTATAGCTCACTGAGAAAGCGTATAGCTTGATCGCTTCATTTGTCGCTTATTCTAAAAACTAAGCACAATTTCGTCCTCCTTCGTTCATCAGAACTCATATGTTTGCCAAAACCAAAATCAGTTACTACTTCTTATAATTGGATGATACATTGTACTGACAGCTCAATATCGTTTTAAGTGAGGAAACTTCTGCATTTGTTGCGGCAGTCCTAATTTCATTGGACGCTATCGCAGCTGACAGCGGAAAATATTGGGTTGCACTTCGACTTAATTCACATTTAGTCACTTTTGTTAATCAAATTGTTACTCATTTGAATAATTCAGTGAATCAAAAATACGGTCTCTATCGTGATCAGTGATCTTCAACCATTTGCTTACTAAAGATTGGATGCCTTTTTCCAAAAAAGAATGAAGCTAGGTCGCTGAGATCTTTTTCGAAGTGGTTGCTTGCATTTTTCTCCCTCAGATGCTGCTTCGGGACGCGAAAGAGATGATAATTCAGTGGAGTAAAATGTCAGGGCCATTCAGTGGATGTGATACCGTTCAGCTCAATTTCTCCAAAACGTGGCGAGTCAACTTTGCAATGACCGATGGTCGGGCGTTAGCATGGAGAAGCGAGACACTGGGTCGTTTCTTACGCTTCTATGCCACTACTACGGCTATCTTCCAAAGTTGTTAGCCATCGGTCGTCGAAATTGATTGTCTGCTTTTTAACACGCTCAGAGTTCAGTATGCCAGATAATCACTTTTTGAGCCACGCATGTGGAGTGTTATATAAGGGCTGATTTATAGAGCCCGATACATGTATTTCGACCTTGATAGTCTCATCAGTCGGGCAGTAACCTTTCGTCTTTTGCCAATCCTCTTGAAGAGCTCAGTTCCCTATACTAAGGGTAGGCGACGACGTTTATGTTATATTGTTTTCTATGAAGTGAAATTACTACTAAATAGACAGTGTTGCACACAATATATTGAATAGACAGTGTTGCTGTACAACAGACCACATGCGTGGCTCCTATGAAGCCGAGAGCATAGTCTTCTGAGCATGAATGAGGTGTGATCGAAACTTCACCTTACAGTGGTCGTTTCTTTTGAATTATGAGCAATGGTGCTGAGGCATTTCCAAATGTTTCTAGAGCATTCTGCAATGTATCAAAGCCTTTTAGCAATACCCAACTTAAATTTATAAAAAAATAGATGTAACAACAATATGGAAAAAAATAAGAAACAACTCAATAAAACAGCAGTCGACTTAGCACGAGTGTCACATAGGATTTTCGTTGCCTGCTGCCACAATCAAAACCTCAACCTCAAGCCACAGACAAGAGTAATTAGGCGTTTATGTACAGCAATCACATTGCTACAATAATACGTGCGACCATACCTAGACAAGCAAACTACAATAAGGTATTAGGAGTTGGATAAACGAAAAAAAGACCATGAAAGAAAGATGAGATGCCCAGAGACAAGGCAAGAGGAACAACTCTACCACAGGCTAGTGGCTGTCGGATGCGAGTGTGACATGGAGTACTGTGCGGTGTAGGATTTGGACATATTGTAGGACACGTGCGAGGTTATAATAACATTGCGATAAGATTGACAGAAGCGCTCTATATAAACAGTTGAGAGTAAAGGTATGTGAAGGTTAGCTAACACTATTTTAGCCAACCCAAACTGAGAGAGGAGTGATCGAAAAGGATCAGACTGCGCAAAAAGTTTACTAAATGGTAATGACTATCTTTATTCGTCGTGAAGAGGCAAATGGCATTGCCTAAGACACAACTAATTTTCAGCCATCCTGCACGTGTTGGCCTGTCAAAAGCTTACAGACGCAATACGGACCATCTGCAAAGCAAAAAACATGAACATTCGCTATGACTTAGTGACTGTTCTATGAACGACGTAACATTTTCTATCCAGCTGAGAATCTGAGTTTAGATGTTGCACAGAAAATGTGAATTTAATTGCGAAGTAATAAGCACATTCGTTATTTTGCGACTAAAGCCACCCCACTTGGATTTGAATGACTTTGGAGAGCTTTGATATCGTTGCACAATTTTACGACAATATACCTAAATAAAGATCCCACTATGATTACAAACTTTTTCTTGGAACATTTCTATTGGATCGATTTGCCATCTATAGTGATTGATTAAAAAGCTTCTTTAGCATGGCGAACAGTGCTCAGAGTAGAAAATTTTCTTTATGCGATAAATTAGGTCAAAAGGATCATTTGTACGAATACATCTTGAAATCGATATGATCGTAGCACTACTTCTTGTCCAGCTTTTCTGCAACACTGGAGGGGACAGTAAAGAATTTACTGTAGCGACTATATCTGAGTAAGCATAGAAGTTCACAACTTGCCATTCCTTGAAGCACCCCTGTATGTGCATTAGTATGCTTCTCCGGTTTCCCATTGTTTCAAAGTTCTCATCAAACGAAACATAAGTGAGGAATGGAAAAGTGAGCTGTGTAACATTTTGATTATTCCTTTGGACAACTTTCGATAATATCAGAGCAAATGTAGTTTACGTTCCGATTATTCATGCCTTCAGGATACATAGTAAGGTCCGAAAATGAACTGTAGGGTGCCTCGTAATCACTCAGAATTTTGCTTGTATCATACCTCAGGCTAGTCTTTCCACATTGTGTCAGGCATAACCTTACTAATGCATTGCTCTGAGCGGCTGGCGTACAGTGAATAATTCGAAGACGTGTAACATCGAAACGGTGAACGTTCTAAAATAAAGCTCTTTACTAGGCGATTCTAATTTTTTCTCACCATTTTTTGTCGGGGTCCTGGAGGTGTTTGACTAAGTGAACTGCAGATCAATTTGACCTTTTCATATTCCGCAAAAGGCGAGACTCGTCGAAACGTCTGTCACTGCATTGTATGTATAGACTGAAGAAAAAGTTCTGAGAAAAAGCTTGTAACTATTGTGCTGTTGTACTGTATTACTATGCTGTATTATTGCACTGCTTTACTAGTATTCAATAAATACTATTATCACTAACAACGGGAAAGCTTCAAGGAGAAAAGCCACTGATCTATTCAATGGCGAAGATAATAGATAGCTGGTCCTGGGAGTTACTGAATCTATATAAATTTGATGTAAATAATAGAGTAGCATTATTAGGGCACAACTGAAACTTTATAAATGCAACTAATAGTCTGAATCTTCGAAACTTTTCCACCACATCTATCCGTGGTCAGGAACAAGTTTAGCAACGTTCTTCTAGAACTCATTAGCCATCAATTTAGGTGTTCGTTCTCAAAGGATTCCTTTCTTACAAAAAAAAAGTTGACACCCTTTTTTCATTTCAAGAAATTCGTTGCGATGCTTTGTGTCGGAACTACATATCGTTAACCTACATCTGATCTCGGAATTCAGTGTGAAAAAGCATCAGTGATTTTGTTATTGCATAGACTTTTTCTACGTAACTTTCAAGTTTGCTAATCAAAAATGATTGAGACAAACCTTTTCCTAATAAATATAAAGGATTAAGGATAAAGCTCTCGGCGTTAGTCAATCCCTGAGGGATGCGCCATGCATTCGACTTCAATTTTTAACTTCGTTTGAGGTTATTGAATGCATATCTGGCCTTTACAATAATTCGCGGTGGCCTCCCGCTGAACCGAGTCAGTGCTGCTTATCCTCCCAGACAAGTCTGAGACCTGTCTGGTACCAGTTTATCGATCCCGGAGGGATGAATGGCTTGGTGAGCCATGAGCGCGAGATCGAACCAGTGACCTCGTGTGCGATGCAGGGCACCTCTAACCACTGCGCCACATACGCTCTAAACATAGAGAATAAACATAGAGTTTGAAAAAACCCTGAAAATTTTGCGAAAGTTTCGTTTTCTTGCGTAAATTAACAACATAAACAGGAGCAGCTATTGTTCTAGTTAGACCACCATTGTCTACGACTTTCTGCGATCGTTCTCTGAGATTCCAATTCTGCTCGAAGTACCAATCCGGCTCCTGTATATCGAAAGACTATTGACATGCTTCTTCAACTTCATT